GAACACTTAATCACATCGTTTATTAATGGCTTAGGAGTGGGTTTTGCTGCAAGTGCTTGCTCATCTAAATGCTCACAGATGCCCTTTTTTTTAAAGATTGTTAAATTTTGTACATGCATTTTCACTTCAAGATAGTTTCCCTGATCCTTTTATGTTGTATTGGGACAGGTGAAAACCCCGACGATACCACAGTTACCTCAGCATCGAGAACTATATTCACGCCTTAGTCCTTATTATGCAAAATTGGTGGGAGAAAGTTACTTGGGAAAGAAAAGACCGGTTTATGAATGTACTGATGAGCAGGCATGTGGTTTATACTCGCCTGTCATTTGTTTTTTGTTCTTCAGATTAGTTTTGACTGGAGATTCAGCTTCACTCTCTCTCATCAGACATACTGCTCTTTAAGGTTCTAGAACTTAAAAGAATAACAATCAAGCAAATAATGATGCCTGTAGTGGTAAAAATTTCAATATAGGTTAATATTTTGTCAATGCCTTCAAACTGATAAATGATTTGCTAAACATGAATAACTTGAAGAGTAGAGAAGATCTCTTTTTCGCCATGGGGGATAGAAGGCTGGGAATATATTGCATTTTAAATTCTGTAGATTTAGCTATATATCAGACATAAGGAGTTGAGGAGATGTGTATGGTGCATTTTGCTTGGAAGATCGGCACTCCTTTTATGGCTATTAGGCTGTCACTCTTTCACTGTCTTCTTTTGCTACCTTTTTTATTTTCCATGATTAAATTGGTCTACTTCATTTATTTTGCGAATTGGCCTGTTTGCTTGCACGAGTCCATTGGCGCTTTTAGTGGAATTATTTTGACCGACCCATCCACAAAAGTGTCTCATTTTCTTCTCACTAGTGTTGTGCAATCTTGTTGCTTTTGTTTTTCCTCAAAGGAACACCATTCCTTTCATTTTGAAAATCATTTGACCTCATCACTAAAGATTTCTCTTCTCATGCTTCTCTTTCTCAAATTTCTGAAATATTAATGACAAAACAAGTAAGAAGGAAATTGTCGAACGTGAAGCATTTCAATTTGTTTGAATATGAGATAAAGTCAGCATTATATCATTGGTGTGGCTACTTCTTTTTCGTATATTGCTGTGCTAATATGGGTTTTGATTAATCTGTGTAGGTGGATGCTGCCAAAGGTTTTATTGGAGTTTTACGGTCTTATTTGGATTCACTTTGTTTTAACCTTCGGTCTCATACAATTACAAATGTTCAATCAAATGATGACAAGGTTTGTGTTATATTTCTAGAATATATAAATTTGAACTTCTGTCTGCAATAATAGTTTAACCTACGTTTCCCATTTGGTTACTCGTACCTGCAAAAAAAGGGTTCTGCTCCATGAAATTTGCTTCAATTGCGTATTTGTCATAATTTGCGTACATCTATTCTAATATTTGTTTGGATCTCTCGAAACATTGGTCCCCTCGAATACGGGCACATAATTGTGATTTGTCGAATTCAGAAATATCCCATTACTTTTCACCCTCAATCACCACACATTAGCATGAACAATTGTTGTGTTGATCATCAGGTATCATTACTATTGAAGGAAAGTTTCATCGAGTCTTTCCCTAGTCGAGATCGGCCTTTTATGAAGGTCTGCTTCTCAGCTCTTTTAATCCTAATTTTGGATTTTTATCTCAGTTTCATACAAGAATTGTGTTTACATGCTAATGCTATACTCTCCTTGACTACTGTATAACAGCTCTTTGGGGACACACAACTATTCTCCGTACATACAGATTTTGTACTCTCTTTCTTCCAGAAGGAATAGTGCTGTCATGCATTTATAGACCTGGTAATGTGTAATTATCCAACAGTGAGATGTAGATTCAGTAATTTGTGAATTTTCACAGCCTAAACTAATACAAGTTTTGTTTCCAATACGAGGATTCTTTACGCTCTATATCTGCGTTCTACCACCTAGAATGCATTATTAATATGAAGTAAACCATTTTTAATATCGCATTCCATATAATCATGGTCTATGTATTTGTGTTCTTCTCCCCTATGCAAGGCAAGAAAGGCTGTCGATCTTGTTCGATTTATTGGTTATGAAAGCATCAATATTAATCAAAGTTTCCCAAGCTGCTGTAACTTGTCTATCATTTCTACTATATGAGACATTTTTAAGTGGGCTTGATTTTTTTTTTTGCTGATAGATTGTAATATATTTTCACATATTCTCTGTACTGTGCAGGATTAGGCCATTCCTTGATAGCTAGATATAATACCAAGTATCTTGAAGAGGTTTTGTCCAAGTGACAGTTGAAGTTTCAAGATTACAATATATTTAGATGAAATACCATTAGAAATACTAGCAATAATTATATAATAGTTTGTTTCCATTGTTTGGAATTTATTAATAGTGTATTTGATGAGATTGCTTATATGAAATTGTGTTCGATTTGTAATGAGTCGCATTAAACTCGGTTTGCTACAAAGTAATTGTTCTAAATTTAGAGTAGATCATATAGATTTCATCTACTATTTGGTCGGTTTGTTTATGGAGATTTTGCTCAAACACGATTTGCATCTTTTAGAAAATCTACCGAAATTGAATCTTTACAATTACAATAGGTCTTGTTAGTTTTGGTCTTCTCATTTTCTGCCTTTGCTCGCGTAATTTTTTTGCTTTTTCTTGCGTGCTCGGTTTGACCCGTTGGATGTGGCCTTGGGGTCAAGTCGAGCCATCCATGAGTTCATGACCATGCTCATTATTTTATTTAGAGAAATTAATATGAAAAATTGAAACCCTCATTTTTTGGGGTTTGAGTCGTTATTTTTAATGTAGGTTGAGTAAAAATTGTACAGAAACACAGTGTTACATGTATAATATTTTTAAAAAGTAGAATAATTAAAGAAAATTAAAGTGGACAACATATACAAATTATGAAGTAAATATTTGAAAATCGACCTCTATTACTCTTTACACTTTATTCTGGTTTCAGAGCACGTTGTTTATGCTCCCTGTTTCGTACGCATTAAAATTTTCATTCTTATTCTTCTACTCATTTTCAACCACACATTTTCAATAAAATAATATTTTCATCACATCAATAATTTTTCCTTCTTTTTCAACCTCAAATGCTCTATCAATCTAATGTTTCAGAATACATTTTTCTACTTTAAAAGTCAATAAAGAAATACAACAAAATTGATTTAGCTACTCGGTTGAAGAAAACTTTAAATATCAACACGATGTATTATGCTAAAAAAAAAAAAAAAAAAGAATTGATGGTGGATTTATTATATTTCGTAAAGATTATGGATAAAAAATTATGAGTTTTTCTTATTTGATATTGTCAATAATATTTTAGTTTTGATATTTCAACGATGAACCAAAATTTGGAATTTGGATTTGGATTTGAATTGTTTAAATATATATTTCAGAATTTCCTAATTCTTGCTAAACAACACAACGGGGGATGAATGATTTGTCCCCATATTTATCTAGATTCAATTTTTTTTTATCTTTTTTTTTTTCCGAAAAGGAATTTTACGATAAACCAAAAAGTCAATAAAGAAATACAACAAAATTGATTTAGCTACTCGGTCGAAGAAAACTTTAAATATCAACACGATATTTGAAGCGATAATTCATTGTCACGTAAATATGAGACGTGCCGACGATATAATCTTAGTATATAATTTTATTTTGTAAGCAACGATTTTGTAACTTGAACTCTTCCTCTGTTACTGTATTTATTTTGCTTCTTATGGAAAATTATTATCTTAACAAAGTTCTTTTCCGTGGCCGCCTCTACTTTTTATGCTTGTGGAAGAAAGAACAGACGTACGGAAATGAAAATCAAGCAATTTAGAAATATAAGCACTTACCTGCTCAAACTGAGATTTCTAAATGAATACATTTTCTTGTCTAAAGATTATGATAGTTTTACCTAAACTGAGAATATTCATTCTCTGAAATTTGTCTTTTTCTCAAATCAGTTTGATCAATTATAAGAAATTTGCACATTTAAGTCAACTGGGATTTTTTTGGAGGATGGGGTAGAGATACAAAGGGGTTAATTCTATTCACTTTTGAAGTGACTTGAACAATTTAAAGGGTTGTTGAACTTGACCCTTTTTTTTAAAAAAAACTCGTATAGGGATATCAGCGAGTCGAGTCGAGTCGAGTCGAATCGATTTATGAGTTGAAACTTGAGGCTCGAGCTCAACTCGAGTAAAAATGGTTCGAACTTTTTTTGTCCCGAGCTGAGTCAAGCAAAAATTTAGGCTTGAACCGAACTTTCGACTTGGACCTTGTTGATAAATTAATTTCTGATTAAAAAAAGCACCAATTTGCTAATTGTTGACTCTAAACTTTCGAAAATTAACATAATTAACAAATTTTTTAACGTGTTATTAATTCTCGCCTTATTCCTTTGCAACACTCACATCATTTACAGCTGTCATCTTATTTTAGTAGAGAATCAAAATGTAAATTTTCATGCTTTTCCCATAAATCCACTTTCTTTGTGCCTAATGATAAATTTCATGTCGAGAAATCAGAGTTCTCTGTCAAAATCTTGTTTCGCATAAAATAATATTGTCTAACATCAATGCTCCTAGAATATCAGTTTACGTGACCACACTTGATAAGTTCAATTAAATGAATCATATAATATTATATTTAAGTGGATATATCATTTAATATCATACAAGTGCCATTTAGACTGTTGCTTAACGTTAGTGATATTGAATAACATTATTCTTTATGCATTGAACTTAACTATTCATCGAGTCAAAACGAGAAATGGTTTGGAAAAGCTGAGGTAAAATTGGTAGAGAGAAGTAACAGACATTAATTCAAGAAAAGCAAATAATTAAGAGAAAAATAGTTATCATTTTTCTTCAAAGAATATCTTCTGATTACAAACTTACTTAACTACATATTAATATGTTAGAAACTAGTTGAGTTCTTTTTATCACATATATTTGGCTAAGTACCACATTTTGTATATGGACATATTCAAATATTAGCAAGCCAATCCCCTCCAAAATCTGGAATTTGAGTCAAAACGTGAGGATCAATCCAATCTTCCAGCATTTCATCACAGAATGGCCCTCCAGAAGAAGGCGATAGTAAACCATTATTACCTTTCTTATCTCCATCACTGAATTCTTGAACTCCCCATAGTTCCGAATTTAAAACATCGGATAAATTATGCAAATCATCGTCAAGACAAGCATCTGGCCTCGAAAAATTCTGCTTGAATTCGTTGTAAGAACCCGGTTGAGTTCTGCTGAAATCAGTACTGTCCTTGACAACAAATGATGAACTGTTGTCAGTTTTCTTGTTAAATTCACTCTGTATGTCCTGCTGATCTATAAAACTCTTAGAACATCTCGTTGCCTTTGTTCGTACCACAGGAGGTGATTCATTCTTCAACCACATTTTCATCTTGCCCTTGCCATTGGGATTTTCTGAAAGATTATCACAATTTGAAGCAGATTTAGGATCGTTTTGACGAACCCTTCTTCTTAAATTCGTATTCCAGTAATTCTTGATTTCATTGTCTGTTCGCCCAGGAAGCCTCCCTGCTATCAAAGACCATCTATTACCCAACAATTTGTGAAGTCTAACGATAAGTTCTTCCTCATCCCAGGTTATGTTGCCTCTTTTAATGTCTGGCCTTAAATAATTAAGCCATCTTAGCCTGCAACTCTTTCCACATCTCTTTAGACCTGCGATAACAACAAAAAATCAAATATTTACTGATCACATAATCCTAATCTGCAAAGTAAAATAGAAGTGAAAATTACCAGCTCTCCTAGGGAGGGTTCTCCATCTGCCTTCACCATTGAGTTTGATGAAATCTCTAAGAATTTTGTCTTCAGCAGCAGTCCATGCACCTCTGTTTAACCCTTCATTTGTACAGCAAGGGTTTCTCCCCATCGAAATACAAAATACTGAAAACTAAATACTGCTTCTTCACAGACAGATGGTATGCACAATACTTAAAACTACATCAAATTATAAACTTTACCTTTTAGTTAGTCGGGAGAATTCGTGTGTGTATATATTTACGCGCACATATTAGATACGTGATACATCACGTCTCTAGAAAGTATAAATTTCAGTGGGCATTAATGGAATGAGGACGAGAATATTGTTTGGAAGTAAAAAAATCAGGAGTTGCAAAGTACAACTTGTATATTGATTATTAAGCATACTATATTTAGCAAGAAATAATGTATTCTTTTTGTATCATATTGAACCTTTCCATTTGAAAGTTTAGATTATAAGGTGGCTCAAGTTTCTATCAAACAAGACTCATATAACGTATACGTATATGTGACTTGTGTATCTTTGACATTCGTTAAGTTATTTGAATACAACAAATACTCGCTTCTCAAATTCAAAAGACTACACCTTTATAAAGATATAACAATTATTTAAAGAATTTCATTAGACTTGTCCCCAATGTCCTTCTTTGAAAAGTTATGTACCGATGAGTTTGTGTCTTGTTGTGTCTTTGTCCCGTTTCCATAGTCATTATGAATTCGAAAGAATTTGGTTGTAGCACTGTTTCAAGAGAGAAAAAAAAATAGTAGCTTACAAAACAAGTGTTTCGCGCGGGTTATCGCTAACAATTAAAAATAGGTTCGAACGAATGTATAAGGAACAAACCTTTTGAGACAAAATCCCAAAAAATGGTGCTTTATTTATGAAGATTACAATTGGAAAGAAGCAAAACGTCTCCAAGGAGCACAAGCACACGAAGTAAATTGAAAGTTTGCAAATAGAAAGTAAATGAATTGAAGTTACATATTATCTGTTGAGAGTGTTTGATTCGGGGTCCTTCCTTCTATGGCTTCTTTTCCTTTTTATACTTCTTTGCCGATTTTCTTTTCTAGAACTGCTTGGTGCTATATAACTACCTGGTGTGAAATTTCCCAACAAGTGGTATCAGAGCGTCAGGTGGTTCGGAGTGGAGCAACAGAAAAATATGTCGTTGAAATATGACGTGGAGAAATTTGACGGGAGAATCAATTTTGGCTTGTGGCAAGTACAAGTCAGGGATTTATTGATTCAAGTTGGACTGCACAAGGCTTTGAAAGGAAAACCAACACAGAGTTCAGACAAGGAAGCTGAATCAAGTATGAGTGATGAGGTTTGGGAGGAATTAGATTTGAAGGTTGCAAGCACGATACGTCTCTGTCTGGTTAAAAATGTTCTTGCAAATATTCATGGAATATCTGCTGTAAAGGAATTGTGGAAAAAGCTAGAAGAACTATATCAAACGAAGAGCATCTCAAATCGGTTGTAGCTGAAGGAGCAATTTCATTTATTGCGCATGGAGACCTGTACAAAAATCTCAGACCATCTGAGTGCTCTCAATGGGATTGTTTCAGAACTGGAAGCTATTGGAGTGAAAATAGATGATGAGGATAAGGCATTACGTCTCATCTGGTCTCTTCCGTCTACCTATGAACACATCAAGCCAATCTTGATGTATGGGAAGGAAACTGTGAGTTTCGCAAAAGTGACAAACAAATTGATCTCAGAAGAAAGGAGATTGGCGGGTCAGAATATTCATTTTGACAATGCGGTGTTTGTGACTGAAAATGGGAAGAGGGAAAACTTCATGAGGAAGAAAGCAACTTGTTGAAACTGCGATTAAACTGGTCATGTGAAGAGAAATTGTCCAAAAGGTAGAGCAGGGTCGGCTAACTGCGTGAGGTTGGACAATGCGTCTCTCCTGGCGGAGGACGACGCGCTTGATGTGGCGTAAAGTAAGATGGGAACATCCTCATGGCATGTCGTCAATTGCCATGATAGAGGATGTGTTCTTACTGGCGTGGGTCAGCATATCTGCACATAGCATTGACTGACATTTGATGCAAGATGTGTAGGTATGTGGTGGTGTTGTAGTGTCGATAGCTGATGAGCTCTCTCGGAAAGTCAGTGGGAGAGTTGCACCATAACTATCAGCAGGGTTGTTTCGACATGTAGTCGATAAAATGGTCGGAGTTTATTCTGAGTGGCTATACTCATATGGTGGAGTATGGGATCGTCAAAGTGTGGCAAATGCTTACCTGTTTTTCCCAAAGTATTGTGATTCAAAGTTGTAGAAGAGATGGCAAGATTTTGACTCGTTTTCGACAAGGTGGAGATTGTTGGATAATTGCCTCAAAAGTCAAAAGTTTGAAGACTCCTATTGCAAATAATAAAAGGTGTTTATTATATAGAAGACTTCTAATTTAAGTTGAGGCCAGAATCCTGTTAGAATTTGGTCTCCAATTTATAGTCGACTTTGGAGTCATTATTTGAGTTTGAATTAAACTCTTCTACTTGGTTATTTGGTCCTATAAATAATGGAAGGATTCCATTATTTTGGTGTGTGACCGTGTGCTTAGAATTACAAAGAAAAGAAATCTGCAGCGGCTTCTGGAACTGGAATAAAAGGCTGTCTGCTTTGTTTTGACTTTATATATGCAAGGCAGATTGCATAGTGGAAGAAAGCAAGTTCTTGAATGCAAATTAAAGGACAACAATTTTCATCACAATTGTAGAAGTCAACAAAAGAAGGCAGCATACGGAGTTTGACTACAGTAGAAGCTATGATCTATTTTCTTGTGTAATATTTTGGGATTAGGTTGGTGAGTGAAAAATTCTATATAGTTGTAACAATTTTCATATAGCGAAAAAGTTTTGACGGTCCGTTTAAATTTGTGCGTTATATTCTTTATTTTACTTGTTTGCTATTATTCTTCTGAACAACAAAAGATCCTGCAGGTTAAGTAGAAAAGGGGAATTGGTGTGAAATTTCCCAACACTACCTACTTTTTTCGTGATGACTGACTCGTCAAGGAACTGCCGTTAGCAACTGTTGTTATTGCTCTTGTTATTTAACCGCTTGTAACCGAGATTTTTAGATCGTGGGGTGTGATAAAGTTGCTCAATAACCGCTTCAATAATTGAACAAAACGCTATATTCGCTCAGACCTTGAGCGTCTTGAAGGCTTGGGCGAGAGTGAGACCGTCGCTCTGAGCGACAATATGGCATTTCATTCACTCAGATTCTGGGTGTTCTGCAGGCTTGGACGATGATAGTTTTTTGCTCGTGGGTTGTTACTATATTTTACAATGGTCTTATTTGAGTCAATTCCTCAATTTTCCTAACTGGGCTCCATTTTTTGGATCACATAATTGGGCCTTATTTTTGTATGTTAACAACAAGTGAGGTTGAAGACAAACTTTTGACATTCAAATCACCGTTAAAATGAGAATCTGAAAAGATTGGGAGAGGTTAAGGATGTAAAAATGGAACAAATATGATGTGTAAAAGCTTTTGATGTCTTATTCAGTTTGTTTTTTTTAACTTTGCTCCGCTCTTCGTTGTTTCTCCAAATTTTAACATTGTCTCCTCTAATGTGATAGGACTTGCCTGTTCCATTTGATTCAAAATCAACTATGTAGGCTTCTTCCTTCTCCTCGAGCTTAATCACAAATTCACTTGTTGGATAATCAATAAAGTCGGAAGAATGTGTTATAATTCTGACTTCATTAATTGTCAGTTCTTCGTTTAGTTCTTTTGTAATTACATTATCATACTCTTTATGCTCTTTTGCAGTAGTTGATGTCTTTTCGGGTTGAATGATTGATTCATAATTTAAATCCATGGACAATTGGGAGTCTTTCTTTTCAACATTTTCAAGTAAATTATATCCCCACCTTTTAAATTCACTCCAATATATGGCATTTCCCATATACATTTTTCTTTCATCCAATTTGGCAAGTTCAATATAATATTTTGCAAGTACCTTCTCGTTCTACAGAAGAGAACTATCTTAAATATTGTAGAAACAACAAGAGCTTGAACTTTAAGAGGACAATGCATGTATACAAGCAATAGCCAATATAATGCAGCCCATAACAAAATTCACAATATATGTCTTCTACAAGCACATCCTCATTGTCCATGTCAAGATTATTTATTGCAAAAATTTTGTTGTTTTGCCAGCATCAGAATTGTACATACACTGTTGAATAATAGCTAGGAAGAACACCAAATATAAAAGAGATCTAGGATTGTGGTGGGTAGCCAAAAAAATAAAACAAAAAGAACAATCGAATCCAATATCAACTAATAAACTAGAATTACACAAATTATTCCCCGACAACGACGTCAAAACTTATTAGGACAAAATTCGTAAACGTAGGGATTGTTGACAACTAATAGATTTAGTGAATTGCGTCGTTGTCCCCCGATGAATAATTGTTAATTATAGTTTACCGATTTCTATCAAATTCGATATACGTGACACAAAAGAGTTGATTATTTTGTGATTGTTCTATCTTACGCTACGTATTGTTTTTATCAAATAATGAGATGGATGCACTGGATTTTAGAATCCAACTATTGATTTCTATTTTCAATTCTCGACTTATGTAAGTTAGAGTGATTCAGGTATCCATGCAATCGATATTCCACTAATATCTAATAAACATATTCTTAGTACAACCCGACCCTATTTCTAGTCCGAATTCATATGAAAACGAAGCATTCAATCACATAAGTATCACACACGATTTCGCCACCATAAATATTCTTCCTAACACCTATTACCCCGTGTGTCATTATGCGATGTTCGAACTTATTGTGAGTCTTTCAACACTACAATAAGCAATAAGTTGTCTAATTGATAGTTAAGTTATCAAATAATGCAATAAGCATGCATACTTAATCACAAAACACAAGAAAATAACTAAAATACGATCGGTCTTAAATTAGAAATATAACTTAAAATGTTTCATCATTTATCCAATACACAAGAAGAAGCCTAGCATTATGATATTCAGATTATACAAGAATATATGGAAATACATCACTCGAAGTAAAGAAAATAGATGAAGAATTCAAAAACTTGATTTCTTACACTTTAATCTTCAATTGAGCTTTGAAATTTAAAATCTTGTCTTAGAATTCTTATTCGCCGCTTGCTAGATTCTCTTCAATGATAAAATAATTGTTTTCCATGTTTTTAATGTTCTTTAGCTTATCAAGGATGCAAAAGTTCACGTACCAAAACTTACCAAATTAAGAAAAATGGAAAAAAAAAAATCCGTGGATTTCTTCAAGGCGCGTGCCTAGTTATAGGTGAGGTGCATGCCTAGAAGGTGAATTTGGCCTCAGGTGGTCCAAGGAAGAGGTCAGGCGCGCGCCTAATTATATCTCGAGCAATTATCAGTATTTTTGTCACAACTTTCTCTCTCGATATCCAGTTGAAGCGATTTAAAATGCATTGAAAAGATAACTCAAAGGGATACAATTCTTCTCGAAATATCGTTTTTCCAATTCGAACGCTTACTAGGCGGAAAATGGGTCTCGATTTGAGGCTGAAAATTCGGAACATAACCTTTTCCATTGAAAATTGACGTGTGATAATATTTTGACTATATTTCACCACTTTGATTTATTTCCTCATCCAATTGACCCCTAGCACATCTGGAATCTTCATCTTAAGGTTCGACATAACTTTTGAGTATTTGCATTGCAGCCCATGAACTTTGGATCTCTTACATTTTACTCGCTTTTCACCATTTTTCTCCAATTCCATCATTTATGTCAATTTGTACCCGACAAACATAATATACATAGAATTAAGTCATAATTCATCAAAATAATCAATAAATACTTTAACTTAAATGTCCAAATAAGTGTACAAAATACACTTATCATAGCCCCACTATTGTTATAACCATTTTCTGTATTTAATATTATGTTTTGATCCAAAGAATGTCCCGTTTAGCATATTCTTAATTAACAAGTCATGAACTTGTAATGTGTCCTCATGATACTCTTTGAGGCTAGAAATTGAATGGATGAAAATGCCTTCATTGAGAACGAGAATTAAAAATTCATTAACTATGATGGTTGTAGTAAAAAGTTAGAAAATAATATATGTTAAGGTTTGGGGTTAATTAAGAAATGATTTTGAACAAAATAAATTGTGAAAAATATAAAAGCATTCGATATTTTATTACAATTGTTTTCTATGAATCTGCATACTTCGATAACATTACATAATTACAATATTTTCAATATTGTCAAATACACAATTCTCAATATATGTAATCAAATTATAATTCAACCACTGATCTCTGATTTGATTGTGCAGACGATTCTTGACGTAAGTCATTGCAGAAAATGATCACTCGATTGTGGCAGTAGCCATGGGAAGAATTAAGGTCAACGTCACAAGTTTGTAGACTAATGGATACATTTTATACTTATTTTCTGCTATCAACTTTTGTGCAAAATCACTAAGGCCTAATAATCCTCCAAAATTTTCGCATGTGTGCATGTCAAGAATATATATATCAAGTTGATCATCAAGTTTCGATATATCTGCTATGTCAAAATCTATTGAATAATACTCACATAATCAATTTGTTTTTAACACAGGCAACAAATGAATTATTTGAACAAATAATCAATTAAAAGAATTAATTCAAGTAAACAAAAGGAAAACCATACAACCAATATTCAATATCAACAATCAATTCAAATAAACACAGTTCTATAAATGTAAGCCAAATTGAACATAATCATTCAAGACCCATTCTAAGGGTGTGTTTGATGAAATTTCATTTTCCTTGCAAATGTATTGTTTGATGCCCAACTTCTTGTCTAGAATTTGTGCCAATTATTTTCCACTCACGCGCCTTATTCTTGGCGTGAGAAGAAAAGGTTTTCCCACCTTTTAGGTGGGAAAAGGTTTTCTGATCTGTCTGTCATTTTTTTTATAGTAATGGAAACAAATTTCATAACCAAGTATAAAAAAAAAACTTTCAATTTCATGAACAATTTTGATGCAAACGAAGGCCAAACGAACACTAAACTTTGATGAAAAAAATGATTTTTTAGGAAATAAATTTTTTTTTCTTTTTTTTTTAACTTTTTCGCAATAATTCTTTTTCTTTTTTTTTTTTTTTTTTTTTTTTTTTTTTAGTAATGGAAACAAATTTCATAATCAAGTGTAAAAAAAAATTTCACTTTCATGGACAATTTTGATGCAAACGAAGGCCAAACGAACACTAAACTTTGATTTAAAAAAATGATTTTTTAGGAAACATTTTTTTTTTACTTTTTGGCAATGGAAACAATTTTTATAACCAAGTGTGGAAAAAATTATCACTTTAATGGACAATTTTGATGCAAACGAAGGGCAAACGAACACAAAATTTAAAAATTTCCATGGTGGAAAATTATACCAATCAAACACACTTAATTAACAATTCCCTACAAAACAATTTTTAGGCAATTATTTTCCCTGAAATTCATTTTCATTCCACCCATTTTCCACACTTGCAATTAAACGCACCCTAAATTTATTTGTTCTTTTTCTATTGTTATCATTATCATATCCACATAACGGAACAAAAACATGAAATTTATTTACTTCTATTCCACTTGCTCCAACACAGTTAATGAGTTGCGACTAAACTTAACAAATATTTGACACTGAAATTGAATGCATAAATATGCTCGCTAATTTAAAGCCTAGGGTACCACCAAATACAAAACCTAAATTAGATGGCAAGTGCCCAAACTTGTACAGTTTCAACCATAAAATCCCAAATAAAAAATAATTCCAAATACATGTATGTGCTTAGACGAGAGAGCAGTGAACATACCTTGGTTATTAAGGAAAGAAGTGGTGCCGGAATTGCAGTGGCAGATGAGGACGACGATGACTTAATGGCAATCACTCTATAGCATTTTTAGAGCAAATTAGTAGTTAAAAAAAAAAAAAATACAAATTTAGGTTCTAATTAGTTTGAAATTTAATCAAAAAGTGAAGATTTGTAGTAGATGTGTTAGGGAGAGGGAGAGGATTTGAAGATTTGAAGAATTAGAATGGTCATAGTTTTGGTTAAAGAGGGAGAGAGAGGAGGAAGAGAAAAGTATAAGATTTGCTATGATTTTTTCAAAAATTCAAAAAAAAAAAAAAAAAAAATTTTTTAAGTTTGAGGGTTACGTGACCCCATGCCCCCTCCTATCCGTTCCTGGTGGTGGTGATCGAAGGCATGGGATTGGTTGTTGATGGTTAGGATTTTATCAAAGAAGAAGATGAAGAGGTGAGTGGTGGTGGTGGAATATTTTGACATCAGTTTTGGTAGTGTTCACTTTATTTATCATCAACTTGGTGGTGGTCGCGAGGGTGATGATCTAGTGGTTATGGTGCTGGTCTAATGGTGATGTCGGTGGAGCAAATTTGGCGGCGATGTTTGTAGCCTAAGTTTGGTGATGATAGAGGTGCCACATATATGATGTAACACGATGTTGGATGTTGAGGTGACGACAACAATGATAATTGTGGTGTCACATAATGCTTCACAAGTGGTGGTGAAAGCGGAAATGACGATGGTAGTATACCATGATTTATTAGAAGTGGTGGTGGTGAGATGATGACAACGATAGCGGAAACATGTGCCGAAAAATGTATGACATAATATATTATACTATGACATAGTGTGTTACAAAATACAATGTACATTATTCCCTTCAAATAATTAATTGAGGTCATAAACAATTAAAAAAATGGCCTAATAATTGCGTCTTCCTGAATGTTATATCTAGAGATGGCATCGGGGTGGGTGTAGGTGCGGGGCGTGAGCCTGCCTCGTTTCCTGCCCCCTTTTTTTTCCCCAAAAAATTTTCAGTTAAAATACAAATTCAAAATTTTAAAATCCAAAATAAATAATACTCAAACTAACTACATCAATATCCAAAGCAAGCACTCGAAAAAAACAATGTCCAAAATTAAACATTTGTAGTTAATTCTTTTTTTTTTTAAATTCTTCACGGGGCGGGTTCGGGGCTAGGTATCTCCTCCCCATCCTGAGACCCGAGACGGCTCGGCGATCCCTGCCCTCAGCAGTGCGGATTTTTTTTTACCATCTCTAGTTATATCTATTATCTTTCAGATTTTTTTGGTGTGCGACCCTCTAAAAGGTCATACCCCATATGGATAAATGGTCACATCTGTGGCTATTCTATCCTCTATTTTGTTACATCAAAAAATCTAAACTTATTCTCTCTCAAATTTCGTTCATCATTAAATTCCATCTTCAAAGCTCGATTTTAAGAGTCAATAAGTTTAATTATCAGACCTTTTATGCGACTGTCTAAATAATACAATTTACAACCTTTTAAAATATTGGAAACACTCTGCAATCTATTTATTAGACTCAACCTTATTTAACATTTAGGTACTTTCTAGATTGTCAAGGCACTACATGCTATTGTACATGTTTGCATGCGAAACTAAAGTTTGTAAGTTTATTAATTAGGCTCATAGTTTACAAATATTCCCTCCGTCCCAAAAAGATAGTCCTACGGTTATTTTCACACAGATTAAGAAATTGTAGGTAGTATAGTTAGAGTATTAAATTTTACTATGTTTTTCCATTTATACCCTTTATCCCTTATTAATGTTTTACTACCAATAAATTTTCCAACATGTGGCTGTATTATTACTCCATTATCTCTGAGAGTTTGGCTTTTGTGAGTCTGTTGAACTTCCAACTTCTCAACTCCAAAATTAAACGCGGAAATGAAAAATTTAAAAATTTGCCACGAATTTTGGAGCTAAATTTAAATGAAAACAAAAAATTTGTAACGTGGTAAAATTTGAAAACTAAACCCACCTGTATATTTTCAATTTTCAACCCACCTATGTATTTGCAATCTTCAACTGATATCCTGGTGTTTACCTTCATTGAAATCTCCATAATTTGTTCTAGCATAATGAAAGATTTAGATTTGAATCAGTTAGCTGCTGAACAAGAAATGAATGGGCCAGATTTGAATAGCTTGTATCCCGACTGTAACTCTCAAGATATTATTGACGAGTTACATTATACACAACCGGAAATTGCTGATTTTTTTAATTTGAATGAGTCGGTTGACACTATATTGTGTTCAAATTCAGATCTGAATCAACCAACCTCTCCTAGAGTTGTTCACATTTCAGACGGTTTGGACGGTCCAACATCGAATAGTTCTGTGATTAATTTGAATGAATCAGTTTCTGCTGGATTTTGTCACAGTTTGGAAGAGATTCGCTCAACGTCAGAAGATTATTTACCGGATTTGGAACAAATGTTTGATGATGACATTTATTTGAACTTGGACATGCAACAAAATCCACCAGAAATCTTTGAAATCAACTTGAATGAACCGGAAACTGAACGAGATGCTACTGACAATACATTGCTGGAAAATATTCGTCCTGGGAGCAAGAAGAAAAATTTGACATTAGAAATAAAGAGGGCCATCGTTGCAGCGTTGCTTGAACAAAGTAGCAATGGACAGCTTTTAAAAGGCGCTGTTTCAAATGTTGCAAACTCCTTTTCAATATCTACTCGATCCGTCTCTCGTATATGGCGTGAAGCAAAAGATCTACGCAACACAAATGGTGAAAATCTATTGGAGTTCCGTTCGAAACTTACAAATAGGGTGGGTCGGAAGAGAATTCAGGTTGACATAGAGCAGGTGAAACACATCCCAGTTAGTCGTCGAACAAATATAAGATCACTTTCGATGGCTATTAACGCTTCCAAGTCAACCATGCATAGAAGGATCAAGGATGGAGATATAAGGCCTCATTCAAATGCTTTTAAACCCTATTTGACGGATGACAACAAGAAAGTGAGGTTACGGTTTTGTTTGTCAATGGTTGACACAGGTACAATTGCAACTAAACCTACTTTCGTTAATATGCACAATCGAATACACATTGATGAAAAGTGGTTTTACATTACTAAAACTACGAATAAGTATTATCTCCATCCTGAAGAATCGGAACCCTATCGCACGTGCAAAAGTAAAAGATACATCACCAAGATTATGTTATTGGCTGCTATAGCTCGTCCTCGTTTTGATGCCAACAAAAATGCATATTTTGATGGGAAAATTGGAATATGGCCTCTCGTATTCAAGGAAGCAGCAAGGAGAAATAGTAAAAATCGTGTAGTGGGAACAATGGAGACAAAACCAATTTTATCGGTTACTAAAGACGTTATCCGAACATGCTTAATTGAAAAAGTTTTGCCTACCATCAAACAAAAATGGACAGCTTCTATTTCTGAGATTATTTTCATTCAACAGGATAATGCAAAACCTCATTTAGATACAAATGATCCTGAATTCGTCATGGCCGCAGATGGAGACGGATTTGAAATTCGTTTATGCTGCCAACCTCCAAATAGTCCTGATTTGAACGTCTTGGATCTTGGATTTTTTCGAGCCATTGATGTCATTCAACATCGAGACGCTCCATCAACAATTGATGAATTTATTTCAGCCGTGGAGAAGGCTTTTGAAATGTTCCCTATTGAAGAGTTAAATAATGTCTTTTTGACGTTACAACCTTGCATGGTGGAGGTGCTACGTAATTTGGGAGGGAACAAATACAAGATACCCCACATGAATAAAAAGAAACTGATTAGAAATGGGCAGCTACCGGAATGCGTAGACTTCGACCCTCATATATTGAATGAGGCACGTGAAGCTGTAAGCAATGCAAATTGAAATTAAATTTTCAACATTTATGTGTAATTGTCTTAATTTAGGCTGTTGTTGGATGCATGATCCTTTTTTTCTTTTTAAAATTTGAGATGTCAAGTTCTTTGCCTTTGTCATTCCTTAACATATTTACAAGTAAATTCTTGTTTAGGAAAAAATAAAATTGTCATCTACTGTAACAATTTTTCCTTTAATTTGTGTTCATGATAATGACGATACTTTGCTGCGCGCCATGAACCAAAATTTACATATTCAACAGAAATCAATAATCACCAAAAGAGTAATTAACACGTCCTCGGTCGCAAAAACGTAAAAAAAAGTTTAATGCAGACAATAAAAAATAAAAACATATTCAGTCCATCAATGAAAAAATCTAGGCAAATAAATTTTAAGCATTTCATGAACAACAAGTGCCACCTGCTGACGAGGAGCAAGATATCCTTCCATTTCCGGTAGAGAATTCAAGTCGAGTAATCGTTTGCCAGATTCTTTCTTTCCTTGAAAGGTTGCTCGATCATCTATTGCAATTATTGCAGAATCATCGTCTTCATCATCCAGTGGAAAGTTTAAGTCTTGTAACGGGTTGCCCATTTTTTCAGATGCTCGACCCGGGTCTGATGATCGATAAGTTTATCGCTATTTATCTGGTATTGCTTCGAAGTGGTTCCGTTCCAGCAAGGTGATATCTTCATTTTAACACCTCACGCCACTTTATGGATCTTGAGAGGGGAGGTGAAAGGTTTAATACCTATTTGGAATCCCCACACAGTTGAACTAACGCATGGACTCACTTTGTTTCCCAAAAAAAATTTGAAAATGCAATATCTAGGTAGTTGGTGTCTATTATACCAAGATGTATTAAATAAGGGTATATGTGGAAATGAAAATTTTAATACATGCTTGAAATGGAAACAAGACTATCTTTTTGGGACGGATAAAAATAGTATACAAGACTATCTTTTTGGGACGGAGGAAGTACATATTAAGCCGTTGTTTTGAGCCCAATTTTCCAAAAATTCATTTTTTTAAAACTCATTGTCACCACATATTTTACAATAAGTTAATTTTATACGTAGATTGAAAACTTTTTCTTGCTTATTAACTAGACATTCTCCAAAAAAATCACAATTCAAAAATACAAAATTTTCCCAAGAAAGTGGTTAAAACAAGGGCCAAGTCAGAGTAAGAACACTTGCGGAATCAAGCATGCAAGAATGTAAATATAATAAGACTCAAGAATACCACATTTAAGGTGGTAAACTCACTCTCGAAAAAAAACATCTGCAAATCCACTAAGAAACATACTTCAGATCTCATGATCGTTCTTTGATTTTATATTAATATCTTTGCACATGGTGATGCGATTGCCCCTTTCAACTCGTAAGAAGATCCTATGCGTAGTTGTGTCGTAAGAACCAGAGATGGTCAATGATAATAGGTTTGGAAAATTGAAGAGAGAGAATTATGATTAATTTCTTGTATGTAGGGTTTGGAATGGTAAATTAATATTACTATTTATTTTATAAAAGTCTATATGATAAAAAATAGAGGTGTTTTTTAATAGGTATTATTAGAAGTGGGATAAAAATTAAATAATTAAAAAGAGGGTATATTTGCACTTTTTGATGAAGAAGAGGGGTGTGGTGTTATTAATCTGTAACTTTTCCCCTAGTGAAGTGAAACCCGGTTGAATACCAGGCCAGCAATGTGAAGCCCAGGCCCTGTTTAAATCATATATTGATAGGGCAACAGGAGGAGGAGGGAACGAGCGGCTAAGGGTTTTTTCTTTTCTGCGAAGGAGAAGGGAAAAGGGAGACGCATTTGTCACCCCCTTACCGTCGATTATCTCTGTGTTGCAGCGACTTCTACAAGGATAAGTCAACTTGTTCATCACCAAACTTGGAAGGTAGTGTCAAATTTATCTGTGTAAAAAACGAGCTTTTATATGTTGATTTTGCACTCATTCTGATTGTCGTAAATGATTGAATTTTATCACAACCTTGATCTAAGATTATCATCTTCTAGCTCCTTAGAAATTATAATTTTTTTTTTCTAAATTGTTGTTTCTTGATTGTAAGCTTCCATGGCGATTTTCTCGACGCCATCTTTCTTGAATTTTTGATGTGGTTGTTTATGGGTTTCCACCTGCCTTTAGAAGTGTAATCGGTGAAATAACCATGAACAAAATCCAGTGAGCAACTGCCCCTATGACGCCCCAGGTGGATCCGCCCCTCAGTACACGCACAATCATATATGCACGTAAATATTGTATTTATGCAGTTATATACCTGATCTTTTGCTGTTGGAGTTTTATAATTTTGCTTTAGTTCATTTTCTGCAAGGTATAATTGTTGATCGTCAATATCCGAATCTTTTGTTGATATGTATGTTTACATTTGAGCGAATATTTTTTGTTAGAGCTGGTGTGCTTCTCTATGGAGCTAGAATCTGAGTTGCTGAATGTTTTGTACTGTAATTTATTTCGCTATATGTGAGGTAACTTCTTATATGTATCATGTGGAGTATAAATTTGGATTGTCTACAGTGTTTGTAGAGCAGCGATCTTCAGACCTGAATTGGAGTTTAGTGATTCAAGTGTAAAAGAAACAAATGGGAATAGAGATGGTTACTCAACAAACAGAGTTACCTGATATGGATGAACTGAGTTTCACGGATACAGAGTTGGATTATCATGTTAGGAATGCCCTTAAAGCTGCTGTCCAGGTTAAAAAATCTAAATATTCTGATGTTTTATTATGTCAAGCTAGACTTAGATATAGTGGTAGTTACTAAATGGTGTCAGATGTAATGTTGATAAATCTTGATGGTTTGTAGGGCGACTGTGATTTTTATAACCAGCTTGTTGCTGTGATACACCATAAAGAGCGTCTTGTCCCTGAGGAGGTGGCCCTTCTTGTGGTATGTTGTCATAATATATAATGAAATATTTATTCTAATAAGTTGCTTCTTGTCCCTTTTATCTTGCATTTAATTTATTATCACATTGCAGACGTGTTTGAAAGCTCTGACTGGAGCAGTTTCTTGTATACACATTGTTCATCATCGATCTCTTCTTGCTGCAGTGAGTAACAAAAATATATGATTAAAGACTCACATGTTAATTATCATACTTAATTGGTAATTTCTGATTTAGTGGTTGATTGGAACTTCAGATATTTGGGATGAGCTTGTGGAATTATGGGACTGATGTGATGGATGCGATGGTTGAACTGTTAATCTCATTGGTATGTGATTGTATGTAGGTTTTGCAATTTGTTCTATTAAAATTCTTGTTAGTTATTGAGGACCTTACTTAATAATTAATCCAGTACCATTTTCTTTCTGTTCGTAATTTATAATATAGGCTGCATCAAGTGGACAATATGTTGATTTGTGCTTGGAAATGCTCGTTACCAATTTCATGCCTCCGTCTTCTTCCTCTACTCATTTCGTAGAATTACTGAAGCAACCACGGGGACTTGATAAGAAGCACCAAGTTCTGGATCGTGTTCATTCAACTTTTCAAGATATTGCCAATTTGATTCCTCTTACCCCTTTGAGGCTGGAGAAGATAGTCAGGGATAGAATGCCAAACATATACACAAAGGAACCTGTAAGATATAAATCAACACATCCCTTAACTTTGTTTTGAATTATAATCTCTCCCTCATAATTTATGCAGTTAATAGCAAGGTTTATAAAGGCGGAACTGGGTGCTGAGCCTCAAACAAATGAAAATAAATTACTCAAAAAATTGTAAAATAATATAAAATAAACAAATAAATAAATATAATAAACAATAAAAAACCAATCTTAAAGAACTCTACATAGAATTAACACCAACATAAGTTAATAAAATATCTTGTCTCGACTCTTGAGCTAAAAGAACTATAAAAAAAGGAAAATTAAAATGAGAGTTGAGGCAAAATGCGAAGAAACAAGAAAAAAATTATATACCTACTTGATCGTTTTTGTCTTTTAGAAGAAGTTGACCCCTGCATTCTTTTTGGAGAAGAGTAAAATCACATTCTTCTTTCTCGTAATTTTCATGTCTATTTAAATTAATTGGATTATTGTTATTTGTGATGACACGTACTCAGTACTATCATATTTAAATGTTGAATTTGTTTTTTGTAATTAAACTTAACATTTGATTTAATTGTTCTATATTTTATTAAGTACAAATTATTTAAAATAAATAAATCATTGATATTTATTACGTGAAGAAAAATTTAATAATTCTCATTTATTATTTTAAGAGAGTTAAACGATAATACTTTCAAATCTAGGTATCTAGATTTGGGGATGTTATAGTTTGTTATCAGAGTCCAGAGCTGTAAAATCAATTCTGGAGATTTCAAAATTAGAATTAAAAAGAAAAGAAAGAAAAATTGGGTATCATATTGAGTTCTTGCCTCAAGGAGTCCTCTCACAATCATCGGGTAAAGTTGAATTAGGTTTTTATATTACTAAATTTTTATGCCTATGATGACCTTGAATTTATTTGGTATTTTTGTCCATATTAGAATTTCATCTAGTACACAACAAAGTTAAATATACTTGAGCATTTATGTAATTCTATGTTAAGATCATGAGACACTTGGGTCGTGAGCAACTAGGGGATCATTCCACTTGCAATGCATCGAAATTTTAAAGAGAGTAGACGAGGGGATCAGAATTAAGATAACTCTCGTTTACTTATTTTGGAGAAACTATGTGGTGGAAGAGCCAACATAGGAGCACAATGACACGATTTGCACCAAACTCGTTTTTATTTAGCATGTTACAATTTTGAGGACGAAATTTATTTTAAGGGATAGGATTTTGTAATATCGCATTCTTCTTTCTTGTAATTATCATGTCCATTTATATTAATTTCATTATTTTTATTTTGTGGTGACATGTACTCATAACTATCATATTTAAATGTTGAATTCATTTTTTGTAATTAAACATAACATTCGATTTAATTGTTCTATATTTTATTTATTACAAATTATTTTAAAATAATAAATCATTAATCGTACAATCTTCAAAAAATTACTATTCAAAACTCTTTTTCTCAAAATAATGGTTGTCAAACAGGAGCTTGATTTACCATCTCTGAAACTTGTGAAGAGAAATCTCGAACAGTTTATTGTTCATCCATTTTTAGGTTGTCAAAATCCTTCCATAAAGATTGAAGTTTCAAAGCTTTAGTTTTCTCCAAGCCTTGAAATTCTTGATTTAAAATTTTTCGCATGCGTCTTTTTCAATAGAAAAAAAAGAGGAAAATTGATTTTCCAACTCCTTGTTGAATATATATTTCAGTGTCGCTGCATCTTTCTTTTTATATTCCTTTTGTAACTTTGGATCTTCTTCATCGTCTGTGGACATATATTTTACTACCTCTTCATCTTCAATGACATCCCATTAATCCAAAGAGAGGAAGAAAGTTTTCAATTGACTTCTCCAATATTCATAATGTTCACCTTCAAAGATTGGTACTTGACTTGGTGAATATGTGAACAAAGAGGTTGCTGAATTTGTTGCCATAGCTTTTCTGTTTCTGTTGAAAGAAATAAAATTTGTTGCTTAAGATAATGGGCTGCAATTTAGAAATTCACTTCTTGTGGTTGTGAATAAAGTGTAATTGTTGTTGAGATTCCAAAGTACTTCAGGTGCAAAGCTTCAATAGGCTTTGGTTGCCTACTGGGATTAAGTTTGCTGCTGCTACGGTGGGGTTTTGAAATTTGATTTTGTTTTGGTTGAAGATTACAAATTAAGAGGGGGAGTTAAAAGTTCTAAATTAATTTGTATTCTTCAAATAATTCAAATTCAATTAGAACTCTTCAATAACTTTAGAAGATTCAAAGAAAGGTCAAATGGATAAGATTTATAATTCAATTTATATATTCAAGTTGAATATTCAAAGATGCAAGCTAGAACTTTGAAAATCAACTACGGACAACAATCTTAAACATTCTGGAGAACACATACAGTTTCAAATAAAGATGAAGACTGTTAGCAGAATCCCACGGCAAAAAGGCGTAATAAAAAGAAAGAATTGTACAATTGTTGAAATGGCCATAAGCATGCTAAAACGTAAAGGCATTTCGAACCTTTATTGGTCAAAAGTCGTAAGCACAGCAGCATACATTCTCAATTGATTGCCTACAAAAGCTGTTAGAAACGAAACTCTGTTCGAGGCATGGTACATAAAGAAGCCAAAGGTAGATCACTTAAAAAATTTCGGTTGCATTGCTTATGCCCTCATTCCATCACAAAACAGAAAAAAATTGATGAGAAACTACAAAAACTTATATTTGTTGGATACAATGACGAGTGTAAAGGATATCGATTACTAAATCTAGGCAAAAATAAAATCACTGTTTCTTGAGATGCGTTCGACGAAAGTGAAACTTGTGATTGGAAGGGCAAGTAAGTTATAGATTCTAGGCCATATCAATTTGATGGTCATCAATTTCAACACTGAGCAACATGTAGCTCTATGTATTCCAACAATTGTAGAAGGATTAGAAATTCCTCCAAGAAAGATGTTCACTGAACGAGATCTATGAATCATATGATTTATTCATCTTCATTTGCAGCTACTGCCTTCATCTTCATTTGCAACCGTCTTCATCTTTATTTGTAGCTGTATGTGTTCCCAGAATGTTCAAGGCTGTTGCTTGCAGCTGATTTTCAAAGTTCTAGTTTGCATCTTTGAATATTTAACTTGAGTATATACATTAAATTGTAAATCTTATCCATTTAACCATTATTTGAATCTTCCAAAGTTATTGAAGTGTTCTAATTGGATTTGAAATCTTTGAAGATTACAAATTAATTTAGAACTTCTAACATCTTTTGCCACTATGGTCCATCTGTTGCTATTAGTCAGCTCTACACCATTGGTTTCTTTGTCCATTTTTTCATGGACATGGATTGCACAAAGGGATTTGTGATTAGTTATGTCACTTTGATCATTGAGTGCAACGGTACAAATTTTGTTAAGTTTCCTTGTGGTTAGAAGTCATTCATGTGAGAAGTGTCGCAATCTGTTGGGGGTTTTGCGCGATTAAGTATTACGACCCTGTCAGATATTGTCATGCTTTGTGCATGGGCAACTGATGACTTTGCATGTGAATCCATGACATACTATTTCTATTTTAATTTAATTTTCCACTTGGAATGAAATATTTACGTCTTTTCAAATGTCACTATGTTTAATAAGTAATATTGGGTATCTTCTTCTGGACAAAATACTTCCACATTCTCAAGTGTTAAAAATGAAGTTTGTTGAAGGACCGCGATAAAATGAACCTTTATCCATTTGAAATACTATTTGGACCTATGTTGCTCGGACTCTTCAAAAATGGAGAAGTATCCGTGTCGACACGACATGACATGACACGGATACTGACACGGCAGCAGAGAAGACACGGGATATGCGGCAACAAACCCATCTTGTGGTAGTATTTTGCAGAAATTTATGGAGGATGTTACTGGAATAAAGGAGAAGAAAGCGCCCAACAAGAGCATGGCGGCAGATATTCTGCAGAAAGGGGAAGATAAGATGGAGAAGACGATATGTTTAGTATGGGTATTAAATGGGCTTT